ATCTCTTCACACTCTCAAACATAGCTACAGTTGTTCCCCAGGGTGCAGAAGGTGGAAGCAGCGTCGCCAATATATGGATTTTTAAGCCCAAAGCGTTGCCAACCGTTTTCAAGATGCGTCGTCGGGTAATTTTTAATGAAAAGCCATTTACACTGAGTAATGAAAAATTATTTACAAGCCACAAACTTATTTACAAGGTTGCATGCACGTGATACGCCAACTAACTAATTTTACCCTAAAAACGACTAGTCCAATTGTACAGCGAGTGTCAACTGAACATGTGATGATGCAGCCTGACCGCTCTAATGTGACCGCAACTACATTTTGTTTACATTTTTTTGGTGGGAACTCATCGCAACCGATTTCCGGGCAAGCTTTACTGCATCCTGATCCATCCAACGTACCGGAAACCTTATTTTTCTCTAAATAGTTGGCTGAAGACTGACAAATATATTAAATGCAAGAATTTCAATCTAAATGTGTCGGCAAGATCTTCTGAAGGCTTGAATTTTGCTACTGAAGCATTGCCAAAGATCTTGCAATAATCATCCACTCTCTGCACAGTGGGTTGTTCCATCAGAGAGACCAAAAATCATTGTCATCCACTCTTTGCTTGTTCTCTCTTACCCCACTTTGTTAATTGCACCTCCCTTATTCAGAATCACCTCCATCATAGACTGATGCTCTCTCTCATACGCCTCACATTCCATCAACAAGTGCTCCACGTTTCCTTCTCATCCCCATTTTACATTAAACATTTGTCTTCCCTCCTCTCACTCCACCTGTATGTACAGTATTGTGCAAATTAGTTCGGACTGTGGTTGAAATAACACGATTATTTGCCACATTGAAGTTTTATTTAAAAAATCATAACAATGGTCGCCCCCAATGGGGGAACTCTGACCACCTAATGGCAGCCGTGACGGGGTAACATTGACCGGCTTGGAAATTAAGTTAAGATTACCATTAACCGTCAACCGGGGCTACTCGGGACACTTTTGAACATTTTTCATTCATAACTTCTTACCATGAAACATTTCATAAACAAATTTAGGCTCATTTTATAGCTCTTTGCAAGGGCTATCGAATGGCATCTTAAAAAAAAATCCATATGCTATTCGTAAGGTGCCAGAAGCAAAAAAAGAGTGTCCCAAGTAGCCCGGTCGTGTGGGGCTACTTGGGACACTGGGAATTAAACTTCATTTTAAAATATTTGAAGCATGCAGAGCGTACTCGTCAATTACTAACAGTACTCTGAAGTCCTCCTCTTTCATTGTAGATGATGTAGAGGTAGAATAAATCACATTTTCAGCGATTTTTACTTGTTTTTCATTTATTGATATTACCATAAACATTAATTACTGTCAATTGGGGTGACTTCAGCCCCATTTTTGATTTTGTTTTGCAAACAAAAACGGGGTCATAAATGCCAGGGTCGTAAACAAGGTCATAAATGCCAGAGTGACTTTGGCCATCGTTTATGATCCTGCTTTTGTTTGCAAAACAAAATAAAAAACGCAGCCCAAGTCACCCCAGTTGACGGTACCATATTATTGATTATTGATGCAATATTACTGTATTATTGATGTGATATTACCATATCCATGAACATGCCATTGAGCATTTACAACAACCTTGTCCACTGCAAGCTTCATATCAGCAGCCTTATAGCATTTTTTCTGTATCTGTAATTTTTTCACCATTTTTTCAGGAATTTTTCAAAGCTAGTAAATGTAGTATTTTTCAACTTCCTTTATACTACATAGATAGGAAAAATGTTGATGTTTACGCCACTAAATTTAGTTTTGCAATATTCCAATTAGTTTTGCTACTATAACAGTTTTACGCCATGTCGGATGACTGTCCTGAGTAGCCCCGCCAGTCCCAAGTAGCCCTGGTTGACGGTACCATAGGTACCTATATAACATATTTTATGTTTGATACACCTATTAATGTTTTTTCTTTGTTTCAGACTCTACAGAGTCTTATATATGGTAATTTTAACTTAATTTCCAAGCCCATCAATGTTACCCCATCACAGCTGCCATTAGGTGGTCACATTTTGCCCATTTGGGGGCAGCACCCCAATTTGCAAACTATGACACTTTCCTAAAATTTGTCATTTGCATATGTAACTAGAAGAGTTCTACTACAATGCACCAAAACCTGAAGTTATTTGGAGTTATTTTACCAAAACCCAGTCAAAGGAACCCCAAAGTGGGGGGTAACATAGACCATCACTTTTTTTGAAATTACATCAAAACTATGAGAGGCAGTAGCCAGCAATTTATGGTGATTGAAGCTAGAGTATAGACCTGTATTTTGCATGTTTCAATTGAAGTTTAACTTGTCTAGTAAAATAATGGCATTTTGAAAAAAAAGTGGTCAAAGTTGCCCCATTTTACGGTAATTAATAGGAGATATGACCTACTTTTGCTTATAAGCATTTGAAGACAATTTGGCATGGATTTCACCAAATTTGAACACATTTTAGTCACTTGCTCATCACAATACCAGGTCCTAATTACAGCACAAATTAGCTTGGCCATTGTCAAAGTCTTCTTTCAGTAGTCTTTGTTTGATTATAGCTCACAAGTTTTCAATGGGATTGATGTCTGGAGAATTTCCAGGCCAGTGTAAAATCTCCAGTCCACTTTCTTCAAAGAATATGCTCATATTACATGAAGTATGGCGTGGTGTGTGATCCTGCTGAAAAATGCAATCTCCATCAGGAAAGTCCCTTGTCATACTAGGAAGCGAATGACTCTACAAAATAGCCTTGTATGTATCACTATTTATCATTCCCTCTACGTTAATGAGCCGTCCAATGCCTTTAGCACTAAAACTACCCCAAAACATCTTAGGCGGATGTTTGATGGCATTTTTCAGCAGGATCACGTACCATGCCAAACTTCATGTAAAATGCATACATTCTTTGAAGAAAGTGGACTGGAGATTTTATACTGGCCTGGAAATTCTCCAGACATCAATCCCATTGAAAACTTACATACTATAATCAAACGAAGACTCCTGAAAGAAGACTGTTCAACAATGGCAAAGCTAATTAGCGCTGTGATTTGCACCTGAAATTATGACAAGCAAGTGACTAAAATGTGTTCAAATTTGGTCAAATCAATGCCAACTTGTGCTCAAATGCTTGTAAAAGCAAAAGGTCATATCTCCTATTAATTATGTCATATTTTGTATCATTGGCATATTTTTTTAATAAAACTTCAATGGGGCAAATGATTGTGATATTTCAACCATTGTCCAAACTAATTTGCACAATACTGTACATCCATTCACACCTAGCACCCCTGCCCTAAAACAAAACAGGAGGTCCCAATCTTTACTACCATCATTCATGCATTCATATTTTGGCATTGCTTTCATCTGATACAGTTTTAGAGTGTTCTTTCCCTCCATTCTTGCCTCCACACCTTAGCCCACAGTCTTTCACTCACCTATTTATTTTTCTTTTCTACTCTTTGTCCTCCCATTTTATCTCAACTGCACCCCGTACTGTCACCGCTCATTCATCCTATGGCCCAGCGGGCCCTTGACGCACCCATGCTTTGTGCATACCACACTTGTGTCCATTTAGCGTAACATTCGTAAACTTGGGTATGACATCCACTTGTGTCCATTTAGCGTGCAATGGGTACGACATCTACTTACCCATTTGCTCACCTTTATGTTCCACATTTACATTTTTCATGCCAACATTCATTGTCCATTTGCTCCAGTCTCACTTTATACCTCAAAACTGATCTCATTCTTCTCTCCTTAAAGATACTCCATCCCATGTCCCCCTCAGAACCGCCACTGCAGTCCACCCGGGGGCCCCTAGTGCTAATCTCGCCGCTCTATTCTGTACCTTTTCTAGCTTATCTAGCTCACCATCACTATATGCTATCACATGCAATCGATATGTAATACTTTTATCTGATGATGAATTCCAAAAATTTTGCTGTAGTCGTCGCTTTTCATAGAATTTTCATCTGCAAGTTACTCTGACATCATGCAAAATTTTTTAACACCCAGATGAGTAAATTTCTCTTACAATTCTCTATGCTTTCTAGTAGTATCTCCAGATATTAAAATTTCTGCATATTTCTATGCTTGCCTGTGAAAGGACAGGTATAAATGATTTAAAATTTTTTAATGGACTTCATGTAGAAGGAAGCATATTTTCAATAAAGTTGATATCACATCAATTATTTTCAAACATTTCCTGTCATAAACTACATTTTATACAAGATGATATAATGATTTAAAGTTTTGCTTAAACCATACATTTTTTGGATAATGTTTGGTTTAATGATCATGCTATTAGTAATTTAATTTATACCTAGCCAACTAATTCATTTTGTACCACAACCCATCATGGTAGCATCCCAGATGCCTGTTATTCAATATTTTTATCTGATATCTCCTTGTAGTCATTTTGTTAACTTATAGTCATAAAAGTGGGATTTAATTTCTTGACCATACTTAGCTACTATTGATGTGGCAGATCCTAAACTTCATATAATTTTGTGCTGCAGTTATGTGCAGTACAGCAGCATTGCTGCTCGGACTCTGAGGGCGGCTCTCAAGGAACCAGCTCGCACTGAGGCAGCCAAGAGGGCTGGCCAGCAAGTCAAAGTCAAGCACTGGAAGGATGGCAAAGTCATAAGTAAGTTGATCATAACTTGTATATAAGCTATTTTTTCCATTCACATTTTTGCAATAGTATGTGTTATTCACATCAATATTCACATTTTTGCAATCAATCCTAATGTCTTGGTGAAAGGTTGTTTGTATTCAGATATAGGTATGCTAAATATTGAGCAGTATTGATTTGTAGGTTACAGGGAAATTTTCTGTTGTATGATATATTGAATTAAGTTTAATAATATTTATTTATTCAAGCTTAATGTTAATGCCGTTATCTTTATGAATGTTGAAACTAGGTTATTATTTTGATTGAAACCTAACTGAATTGGGGTATTATCTAGGCCAGTCCTAAAATCAGCAAGGATTGATGTCAATGATTCCTGAAAGGTAAGAAGTAATGCCATTGGATGGTTCTGTTTTGCATGTAATACCAGCCAAATTTTGCTGGCTTTGTTCTACTACTGCTGTGTTCAGTGATTATTTCATGATCAATTGTCAATTAATGGTTTGCTCTCTGATTATTTTATGTCATGCCTCAGGATTTTTAGTTAACTATATAATTGGTTTTTGCTGCAATTTTTCGTGATGTTTCTCAAATTTATTTTTCTATAATGTGTTTGCTTAGTGATTATTTTATTACTGTATTAAAATGATCATGATGTCACTTGTTTTCTTGAATTGCAAGTTTACTAAAAATTTATAAGCAAAGAAAACTCCACAAAAATTCATATCTTTATTTGGAAATTTAGATTTTAATTTTGGCTCTGTGACTTTCAATTGAATTAATATGTGATTTTTATATGAATTCTAGATTCTGCAAACTGACAATAGAGCTGAACTGCGAAAAGTTTAAAATAAAAATATGCATTTTTGTGAAATTTTCTTTGCTTTTAAATTTTTATAATGATTGTTTGTCAACAAATGGTTTATTGTTAGTATTTTATGACATGCTTCAGTATTATTAGTGAACCAATTTGTTTGATGTGTGATTATGTAATGATATTCTTCATGATTATGAGTGAACTAAATGTTTGTTTACAGTAATTTAACTCTGATATCACGTTTTAGGATTACTGTTATTCTTTTATGATTTCAAAAATTTTTTTATGTTATTTCTCAGCTTGCTTATGACCTGAATTGTGTGCCAATCATTTGCTTCATATATCGATTAACACATTAATTTGTTTCCTCGAGGCTACATGCCAGTAGTGATGTGCATTGTAGATATCACTTTGAGTAACTCAGATGAGACCTGAATGTTATTTTTAGGTGCATTTCATACTTGTCTGTATAATCATAAACATTGCATCAACCAACTTGGCAGTTTACCCCTAATTAATTGCTTCTCATTGTTGCATATGCTGTTAGTAATTGTTTCATTTTTTACCACTGAAAGTTTATTCCCTGAAGCCGTGATGTGCATAGTGTGGTAGAGTTCTTATTTCTGTAAGTGCTGAATGTTGATAATTTATGCAATCTGCCAGCAACTGCATCTTAAGAACCCAGAAAAAATTTGTTTTGTGCATAGTTTTGTGAGTAGCTCGAACCTGTATCACTGAAATTTTTTCCGTATTTCCTCATAAATATCTTATTTAGCAAAGTTCTGAAATTACTACTAGTTTGGTTCCAATTAGTGTCTGAAATAAGTTAATTTATAATGGCTACAATTGCACCTCAAACCTCATTTATGACTGCACTAAGTATTTGTTTTATATAGATTATTTAAGCTTTAAAAAGTTTAAATTGGATTGATTTTAATACCCGTTTTTATTTAGTTTAATCTCTAGAGCCAAGTGATTCAAAGTGATTCAAAATACAATGAATACTATTGGGAAAGAATCCTCATGTTCTTGCATCTATGAACTATGCAGTTCAGAGCACACCTGGGTACTTAGTGAAAATAAATTTGGTGAATTTTGTGTTGCAATCTTTGGCTTGACATTACCAAATAAATCTGATCTGTTAAGTTTTCTGAGATCATGACACTGTCTCAGCTCAATCTGGCTCATGGTGACGATGTAAATTAAAGTGCCAGAACCCTGATTCCTTATAAGTTTTTATCTTCTCATATCTTTTCCCTTGCCATGATTCCAGAAGGATATTGTGGAACCTACTGTGGAATGTAGCTCTAAAATATTGTTTCTATTATTTTATGACAAGTAACATTTGTTATTTTTAATATCATTTTTATTATTCTTCAAAGCAGTTAATCGGGGCATATGGTTCAAACAAACTTTAAGGACACATTACATTTAATAGCAAGCAAAAAATAAATAGACACGAGAAAGGATGAGAACAGATAAAAAATGACGAATAGGCTCTGTAAAGATCGGTACCTAACTAATGCTCAATTATAATATTTCAAAGTTCACAGAGGTTCGGGATTGGCCGGATCAGAATATGGGTGCGAATCGAGTTTATTGTTTTCGAATACTGATCTGGTGATGACATGACAACGAGGAAATTTATCTGACAAGGTTGACACAGAAGATGAGCTTTTTCTTCAGTAGATTAATTTAAAAAATTTGGATGATTGCCGGCAAGGATGCTACATCTCTACGATATAGTTCCATCTGCATTTATCTTCTAAGTATTGGCTTATTTGTCATCACTTGATTGCCAGTGCACTGCTACTACAGGTGCTGCTATATTTGCGATCAAAGGGCATGTCACATTTTTGCGATATACTGGAAATGGGGTGCCTAATGCATTTTGAAATATAGTGCCTGATGACCGTGCATTACTGAAATTTTTTAAACCCTGATTGCAGATCCACTCCACTTAAACGATATTCTTGAATAAAATCATCGCCTTTTTTACGTTTTCGTTCCTGTGCTTTCTGTATGGACAATGAATCTATGTAGCTCCTCCTTTTACGTATGACTAATCTAGCGCTCGTATTTATTTTCAGAAGAATGAAGAGCGGAGCACACTGTCTCCCCGCCAGCATCTCCACGGGTATAGAAATTTGTAAATTGAACCCAACATTTTCCAATAAAGTATTACAAAACTAGCCATTTTTTTACTTCCTACAGATTTTCCTAACAATTTCCGAATGCATGAGGTTTCTAATTTGCATTTCCAAATAATATTTTTTAAAGATATTTGAAAATTATGATGGGTAGTTTTGCCTTGGGTGTTGAAACTTTATCGCACTTTCTCTGCTGTTAACATGTTTTAGTTCAGTGCTAGTATATTATTTATAGAACTGAAATTTGTAATCGCAGATTTTCATTTCAATTCAATCGTCCATGCTGGTAATTTTGTATGAAAATAAAATTCGTCTGCAAAAATCAATGTAGATTTATCAATGCCGTGTGATCCTGAATTTGCAACATGTGATCATATTCTCCTCAAGTCAATAGAGTTTCTCGGATCACTTTATTGAAAGAAACGAGACGAGATATGAAATATCGCAATTGACAAGTGCGCTAGTGACGCTCTCACCATCATGGGAAAGTTCACCGCAACAAGCGTTGCATGTCGATAAGAAGCTATCAGAAATTTGCTCCTATAAAAATTCGTAGTTGCCCACTCTTCTCGTTCTGGTTCAAGGTGAGGCTTTAGTTAATGATGGTTCGTAAAGGAATTTGGGAAATGTTTACTGTCCGAAACCGTTTAGTTCTGAAATATATAACGAGCTGCACGTTGAATATTATCTTGATATTCGAATCTTGGGAATGCCAATTCAGATGCAGCCATAGTCCATTCATGGTTTTATTTTTTTTTTATTCTCTACGTGCTAGTCCAAAGTGAATAAAAATTTATTTAGCTTCATGTTGTTCCACACTTGAGTATAATGATTTGTGGATTTAGTTATGCACCAGGAAGATTCACGTCTTGCTTAAATTTATGCATGCCCCCTAAGAGCAAGCCATTTATTCTGCTACTGCAGTGCGTTTCATCAATGGTTTTGCCGCCTTAAAGTAGTCAAAATTTCCATGGCTTTTTAAAATATAGATTTTTTCTCTCAAAGCGTATTCCTAAAAAATTAAAGATTAGATGCAACTTCGTTGCCATGCTATAAATATCTGATATTCCTCAAAGTAAAACAAATCTAGTTTTCCCTCTGAATGTCAGGTTGGATGGGAGTGAGCTCGCCATGGAAAACCATGTGAACATTCAATTTGCTGCAACTGCGCTCCTCTTGCTTATACTGATTGCTCGCTTTGGTGAGTCAATCGATTTTCCTTCGCCACTCTTTCTCCGTATCAATTTCAGGAGCAGAAACGAAAGTTTGCCCGTCTTTCCTTTGCTCTGTTGTCTGTCTGAAACAAATGTATATGCCGTTCTGAGATTAAAATGATTTTTTTTAATCATTGAGTTTCGGCCTTTTATTACATCCAAAGAATTGGTGTCTTTAAAATACGAATATTATCTTTGTTCTGTATATTCTTTGATTTTACAAGAATAAGCATCAATTATATTTTATTACATTATTACGGATCTACCGAAACCACCCATTCTGTATTTAGATGCTCAAGTTGTCAACAATGACGATTGATATTGACACTAAAATTAAGTTTTCTATGCAACTAAGTACCAGCTTTTGCGAATATTTCATTGTATTGGATGAAATTATTATCTTGTGTCCTGTTACGTAGGTGCTGGCCAATATCAAGACTACGCTTACAAGTATGCGCCGAGACTGCGCTTCGATTCTGTGGTGAGCCTCGGCGTCCGTCTCTTTGGGTTCCGAAATTACTGGAGTAAGATAGCATTTTATTATTTTTTAGTTATTTCACCGACAATTGAAACGAATTAGGAAACCATCTGCTGTAGTTTTACCGAGATGAGAGAAATTAGACACGGTCACACAGGTTTGAGTCTAGGTAAGCTCAGTTCTCGATTTTGTTTGCGTTTCGCGTCTAATTAAAACCGTTGATGGAGGTGGTTCCTTGGCTAGTGTCTCTCAACAAAATCTGGGTAGTAGTTACCTGGTGAATTTCTAGGATCGGTTTCATGATATTATACTTACAAATTACAATCATCCAAACAGCTACTGGTAGACCAATACGAAGCGTCGGTGGCCTTTCATAAAGTGATCGATTTAGTTTCCGTTAATTCAAAATTACTATTTTCACTATGAGCTGAGGTTAGAGTAGTTGAAATGAGCTCTGATTATAACACAATTATTTTTTTCGTGTGGCCTTTAATGTTTTACTCCCACCATTATTGAAATAAATCGGTTGTATTCCAATAAATAGTTATATATTTTTCCAAGCTTATGCAATTCTCTCATCATAAGACTCATGCGAGCAGGAGGGGTCAGGTGATCGCTGCTTCCCCCAGTCAGCGGAGTCGTATTATGAAGCCCGCAAATCCGGCAACACTGACCGACTATGCAACCTGGACTACGACACAGTTGCGGCCGGTAGCGTGCCTACTTACTGGCATGCTGAAGTGTGCGGGTATCATCTGCACATCGGTAAATAATTCTTGCTCCTTGTTGATCACGGTTGAACTATATAAGGTTAACCCACGAGGACATCCGTCTTTCAGATCAGCTTTCTTGTTACGTCACTCAGTTCAAAAAACGTAAACAATTCCTTCATTCCCACGACGGATTGGTTGACTGGTTGATCGCATTTTGGTGATTGGTCAGTGCCCGTGACGTCACTGAGATCAGTGATATCACAGGAGAACAACAAACTACATCCGCAAAAAACGTGCATCTCATGGGTCAACCTTATACTAGTGCAGTGGTTCCCAAAGTGGGCGATATCGGCTCCCTAGGGGCGGTGGAAATATTTCTGGGGAAGAAGAGGGCGGTAGTCTGAAGTCAATGTCAGAAGTTGGAACGTTTGTTTGACGATTTGTACACACAACACGTGCAGCACATGACTCCCAGCGATGGTTTTTTTCACCTAGATCAGTTTTTTTAACCTCCTGCGTTTACGTCTCGGACAAATTAACGGCCGGTCTCACGGCCAATTTTCAAATTCAATGATCAAATCAATCATGTCTCAAACTATTGAACTTAACTCGATGAAACTTGGTACTCGTATTCATTAGGAATTTACGATAATGTTTTGCTCGTGAAAATTGTTTGAATTTTGCCAGCGTTTGTTTTTGCCATAGTTATATGGCAATGCGGGCCGAAATTCAGTGATCTAGTAATTTCGTCTAAACTACTGAACAAATTCTAACGAAATTTTGATTTTACAGTCCTAACTACCGAACGGTAATATTTAGCTCCTGAAAATTATTTCGATTATGCCTACGTTCGCGATTTTTTTTTATTTCACCTTCTTTAGTGATTAAATTCGCAGTAATCAAGAAATTTTGTCCAAGCTACCGAACAGATTTGAACGAAACTTAGTATTTAAATACCTTAACCTCAGCAACGGTGATGCTTACAATTTTTTCTTTTTGCTTCGTTTGCGAGTTATACGGCTATACGTATAAGGCTCTTGGTTAAACCGACCGGCAGAAAAGCCGGTCGTTCCACCTATATCTGTATAAATCGCGAACGAAAGCTAAATAGAAAAATTGTCACGAGCTAAACATCACCGTTGAGAGATTGGGTATTTATATTCAAAGTTTCGTAGAAATCTGTTCAGTAGTTCAGAAGAAATTTCTTGATCGCCGCGAATTAAAGTCACAAATTACCCGGCGATGCCGGCCGAATACAAGGAGGTGTGAAATCAAGAATGACGGTGAAATGAAAAAAAAAACTCGCAAATTAGGGTAAAATCATAAAATATTTTATAAGCTAAAAGATCACCGTTTGGGAGTTAGGAATGTATATTCAAATTTTCGTTCAACTCTGTTTAATAGTTTGGAAAAAATTCTTTGATCACTGCGAATTTCGGCCTGTTTCGCAATTTTACGCGTAACTCACGAATGAAAGTGAAATTTAAAAAAAATTTACAAGCTAAACATAACCGTTAGGTTTTGATGAATACGTGTTCCACGTTTCATAGAGCTGCGTTCATTAGTTTGGTAGATATTACTTAATAATTGAATTTGGAGATTGGTTGCGAGACCGGCCACGAGTCTGGTCGTAAATTCGCCCGAGACGTCCTAGGTTTCTAGTACTGAAACAGTTAAAACAGCGGAAAAACATATTGGTTCACTAAATGGGTTCGAATTGTGAAATAAACATTTGTGCTTAAAATTAACCTTTATCTTTTAAAATTGCAGCGTACTAAATTTCAAGAAAGAGGCGTATGTCTGTGGGGGGCGCTAGAAATTCATTAGNTTCCTTATATTGTCGGTGCTGAAAAAATTTGTCGTTTACATGGCTGGTTCTCGGGAAAATTTATCATGTTGGTAATTGACGATACTCGAATAAAATTATACTGTTAACGATGCCGGTACTCCGGACAAATTGATTTCATGATCATTGCTGGTATTCAGACTGATTTATCCTGTTAACATTGCCCGTAGCTCGACAAAATTCAGTGCTAATATGCTATTGATTATTTTGATCTTGCTCGCACTTGAACATTGAGATGTCTGATTTTTAAGAAAAGTGATTTAACCATTTATTTGGTAAAGTTCAATTTCAACAAATATTTCAGCCTACTGGAACTTCTACGGCTACAACCATGACTGCGATTGCTGCAGCGGCGAGCGAGACGCCTGGTTCGAGAGCCTCGTTGTCAAGGTGTGATGAATATTTATTGCATCAATACCTAAATCTGTTTATTGCATTATTTTCTGCCTAAATCTGTTTGTTCCCGTATTCTGTCACTTAAAGCTTATAAACTACACCAATCTTGACCATTCAGGTGTTCTTTAGTGCTCTTAGAACGGATCCGATAATTTTCTGCAACTAGCGTGTGTAAGACTATTTTCGTCCTCATAAACTCATATTCCATTTTATTTAGAGCAAAGCTCAACCCTCACAAATGAAAGTTTCAGAAGAGGATAAAAACGACAATTGCATTGCTCATCCAATAGATGTAAGCACGCTAATAAATACCATGATATACATAAATTCGGATCTTTACTCGAGTAGAGCCTTTCATAATTATGGGAACGGGGAGGGAGGAATTGCGTTCTACTTCCATCGGACGAGCCGTGCTGTACTTAAAACTATTATTTATTAACTGGATGACATCCTTTCATTTTGAATAGTTGAATAGTTTTTCCCCGGGTAGATTCGTATTTTTATCTTACTTCTTATATCGTCGTAACGACTTTAAGCGCTTTTTTTAAATATCTTCATTTATATAAAAAATGAAGATATTTACGCGTCGAGTTGCTTAGATCCGAGACTACAGCTTGGACGAGCGCCTGCACGAGGTTCGCTTCAGCCAGAAGAAAGGCTGGTACACGCGCGTGCCTGGCCACTACGAGCTGGTGAGCGACACGCACCCTGTCGCCTATGTCGGCAAGACCCAGCATGGTTACTACCATGACGATGGTGGTACTGGGACCTGCTGCTACTATGAAGACTATCGCAACCCGTGTGAGTAGCTCATGTTGTTGTTTCTTGCGCCATACGTCACGCTCGCGTGGGCGAAGGCTCTGGTGGTGGTCGGAAAGGTGGCACCGGAAGAGGGGGAAGATGGGCGAAAGCAGGGAGAGTGGCTAGGAACGCCGACGCCTTCACGGGGGTGTCCCACAATGATGAGACGCTGAGGGACGATGGGAAGGAGGGGCAGACGAAGAGGTGCTGGACGGATTCGAGGGGATCCCCGCACTCCGGGCAAGCGGCGCTAAGGGAGCGTCCGACCCTGTGGTGTAGGACGCAAGGGAGCTGCAGTATTCCGAGCGGAGCTGGGATAGCGCTGAGCTGTAAGGGCGAGGGAGCGAGGGAGCGAGGCCTCTTATGCTGCAATCGGTGGTGGTGGGGTTGTGAGGACAGCGTTGTTAACGGCAGTCGCGCAACACGGGAGGCTATCTCCCTGCGGAGGGAGCGTTTTGCTACTCCATAGGCACCGTCGGGCATGATGCCGTCTGCCAGGAAAGGCGCCACAAGGTGGCTGAATCTCGTCTTGATTGAAGCTTTCATGGGGGCGAGCTCCGGATGGGAGCAGAGACGATGTGGAAAGAAGTATGGGTAGGCTGGAGAACGCTGGCGAGAAATTGAGCACAGGCCAGATCCAGGTGGGCGGACAGGGGGAGGACGCCTGTGCTGTGGTGGAGATGGGCGATTGGGGCCATCTTGAGACAGCCTGGGGCTAATCTCAGGGCTGAGTTTTGGATGATTTGGAGACTTGCAATTGCGGTGCGTGAGGCGACTGGGTACTAGATGGGGACAGCATAATTGAAGATTGGGCGAGTAATTGTCCGGTAAGTGGCAATGATGTCTTCCTTGGAGAAGCCCCAGTTGGTGCCGGCCAGGGGCCGTATTATCAAAACTTCGTATGTAAGCAAAATCGACTTACGAGTGGCGTAAGTGCTGACTTGATGACGTAACTCTAGAGGTGGTATTATCAAAACATTTGCGCGGGAAGATAAGTAACGTATATAACTGTACGCCTGCTCGGAGATGTCGTAAGTGAAGTTCCCCTCAAGTTTAGAGTGTCTGCTGAAGCGATAGGAAACTATTAATTTATTAGTAAGCAGCAACACCTTGACTTGTGATAGAATTTTGTCAATAATCCGACAGCGCGGATTATACACGCATAGAATGATGGTTCTACTTGTGATATCTCCACTACTTGATCGTGCAACATTTGCACGATCAAAATATGTGATCGTGCTAAACAGTGCTATTGGAAAAAATTCAATTGAGTTAATGCCAGAAACTTGAAGGGGGATCGTGTTCTCAGATAGAGGCAGGGAGCCATCCTGCCTCTAAGTTAACAGCACAGCCAGCGGTCCAGATTATGATGTAGGTCTGAGGTCGCGATCATGCTAAGGAGAAGAGGGTGGTCGACACTATCGAAAGCTTTCGATAGGTCGACCGCAGCTGCCACTGTACGTGCTGGGAGACTGCGTGAATTGAAACCCGTCGCAATCTGGTGCGCGCGCGGGAGGAGGGCGGTGACTGTCGAGTGCCCAGGTTTAAAGCCATGTTGCGAAGAAACCGTGACGAGAGAATCAGAGATATATGGGAGTAGTAGGCGTTCCAGGATCTTGATCGCTGGACAGAGGATGGAGATAGGGCGGTATGAGGAGCCCTGGTTACCAGGTTTGCCTGGTTTTAGTAACGGGATAATTATTGAGTTTTTCCATATAGATGGAATGGAGGCCGTGGAGACAGAGATATTAAAGATGTGGGTGAGAAACAGGAGGCCACGTGGGCCAAGATGTTTGAGGTGGAGAACCGTGAGGCCATCCGGATCTCGAGCGAAAGAATTGTTGGCGGCTCTGATGGCGAGTTTCACCATGTTGGGGGTGAAAGAGGGCGAAGTCCCTGCCCAGGGGTTGCTCAGCCCAAATTCGACGCATAAGGCGGCGGGTGGATGGGTTTTGGGAGAGCGGAGCGATGGAGGTGAATAGTTTGCAGAAGGCGGAGGAGATCTTGCGCTGCGACGAGGGGGGTCTAAACAAATTGGATTGGCTGGTTAGGTGGAGTGCGGCTAAGCTTCCCGGATAGTGAGCGGAGGAGGTTCCAGTGTTTTGACTGGTGAGTTCGCCTGTTGCACGAGGCGAGATGTGACACAGTACCTGGCGGACAGTAGCTCATGCGGTACCAGCTGCTACTATGAGGGCTACTGATACCCATGTGAGTAGCGTGCCATTTATCAAATAGCGGAACTAAAGCTTGTGATAAATAAATTAAACAAGATTTTAACTACCAAGGAAACGAGTTATAACTATATCTTGGATGAATGATATTTCAAATGTGAATCATTACTATTATATTCCCTTCCACACCTAAATGATCCTGGTTATTTAACTGTTGGGGGGGATGAGGTTAGAAAGCTCAGCTATATTGTTATCTACTGTCCAGCGGATGTTGACCAACACATGGACACGTGGAGCAACCTGGTCCGTTTTGACAACAGCAGCGCATGGATGACGGACCCAACGACCGACGTGTGGAACGGCATCAATTCCCCGCCCTTCAGGGACGACTGGGATCTCTGCGCCCTCAACGGCTGCACGGGCGGATATCTTTGGGTAATTACTCATAGTTGCCAACTGATGGTTATCTCAGAGTAACTGGGCTCAGTTGTACACCCAGTTACCTGTGGGTAATTACTCTCACTTGAAGAGTCGTTAGCTAGTCAGAGTAAAAGCTGGAGCGTATTTCTGCATGTTCAAATTTTTAAATATTTTTCTGAAAGTATCAATATTATATATTATAATTAGATGATTAAACAAAAAAATACAGACGAAAATTATTTTATCTGGGAAATGTAATGATGGTCAAAATTTTTGCAGGGATGTTCGACCTGCGGGTGTCACAAGAGTGACATCGGTGAAGATCCTTTCTAGGTGAAAGAAGCACTGCTTCAAGATACATTTATATAGGAGTGCTGGGAATTACAGGATTACTAATCTTACGCGTTTCATTGAACATCGTACTAAAAGAGCGATAATACACAGAATCGCTACTAAGTATACAAACGTATCATAATTTATGAACAAGTGCATACACAAATCTGGTATCAATAAAGATAAAACTTTCTACTTGACCTTTTAAAGTATGAAATTAAGCAGAATATTTTTCATTAAATTAAATTTCTCCTAATTTTTAAATGCAAGGTGAAATTAATATTTTCATCAATCCTCGGTTATCACGAGCTATCTATTGAAGTCTACTAGGTACTAGTAACGCAAGGTGCAAGCAACTTCAATTAACTTCGACTCTAACCGAAGTATATATATTCGATGCGTTCATCGGACTTTAAAAGTTCTATTTGGACTACTGCAATCACGCTGAAAGAATTGAATTCATAACTAGTATAGGTACAACATTACACCTCAAACTGTCAAGCAAGAAAAAGAAAGACTGCACCAGGTATAAATGGGTGTTTTTTTTCATCACTACTATTCGGCAGCATTAAAACATTCAATGTAGCTAGTCTAAAGCTAGACAAGCCTTAGATGATATTTTTACAAAATTCCTCATCTCCCAGAATTACGCATTTCAACACGTACAGTCGGATGCAACGATGTGTCCGCATTAACAGAACTGTTGATGCCAGCATATCTGGCCTCGCCTGGGACAGTCTGTGAAGCATCTTTTCTACTACCATTATTTTCCTCATCGCCTATGGTTGCGAGTTTAGTAGCGTCAGTTTTGCCTGGGTCAGAAACGGACATATCCGTTCTTAATTGAGGACTATCAAAATCTCCATCAGAAGAAGTTTCAGCTTGAAAGAGCTGTGAATTATTCCCAGCCGGACTTTGAGTGTAAACTGAAGTGCTATTCTCAGCAGCGGAATTAAGAAGCGATGATATCATTTCAGGAATGCGCGTTGCGAAGGATGCCTCGGATTGGTCAGGAGCAATCACGTTTTGATAAGCGGAATTGTTGACGACAGATTGGGCAGAATTGAAACCAGGATTGTTAACGCTACCGGGGGCAGCAGCGGCAGTGTCAGCAGTGCTGGTGCCGGCGTTGCCAGCAGTGGTGGTGCTTTGCCAGTAGAAGTGCCGGCATTGCCAGTAGAGGTGCCGGCATTGCCAGTAGAGGTGCCGGCATTGCCAGTAGAGGTGCCGGCATTGCCAGTAGAGGTGCCGGCAGTGCCAGTAGAGGTGTCGGCATTGCCAGTAGAGGTGCCGGCATTGCCAGTAGAGGTGCCGGCATTGCCAGTAGAGGTGCCGGCATTACCAGTAGAGGTGCCAGCGTTGCCACGACCTGCAGCATTACCATCACCAGGACCACGTCTCAAGATGGTGCTGACCACCTGAGGGCGAGGTCTTGATCGCAGCATTGCTGGCAGTTCGTAGTGGTGGTAGAAGTACAGCATCGAGTGCTGCAAATAATTTTATAATTAGTTCATCCTACATAAATGCATTCTCAGAATGAAAACAGGCACGCGGCAGAAAGCATTGTACCTCATACAAAGAACGAACTTGGCTTTTGAAGGAAAAAATTATACTGGATAAAAATGAACAGAATTTCATCGCACGATGAAGGCTCCATCCACAACACTCCTGAAGAGACGAGAACTTCCCGCGTTTGATCGGGTGACAAATGTGAAGAATGTTTTGCTACCCAAAAAGAGAATACTGCAAATTTATAGCCATTCTTCTTATAGCCTTTAGACTTGAAAAATATATTCAGTATAATTATTTATGCCATAATTATATACATAAATGTTGACAATAATAACTCTACAAACACCATTTAAAATCATCAAGTTGACATGATCACTGATTATAATAATCTAACTTTTGAGCTGCTTTGAAAAAACGAGTGCGATTTATTTCCGTACCTGCAAGAAGAACCATGACGTCATGAGCGCCAGCCACGAATACTGAAATAGAACAAAAACTTTTTAGAATGATTATAATCAGTTCAGGCATTGATGTCACAGCTCAAGAATACTAACAATCTATACAACAACAGGCTATTTAATCAAATGCGTGTTCCATTTACCATCATATTAAAATCCTATTCTCATGATTATGTCCGATCATCATACTATTCTGTGAAATAGATGATCAAGTTATAGTGGCAATTGGTTGAAGAACTTACCTATCCATTGAACCTGTGGTGGTACGCATAGAAGGCAAAATGATAGTTACAAATGGTTGAAGCACCTACCTGTCCATTGAACCTTTAGTGGTACGCATAGAAGGCGAAATGACAGTGACAAATGTTTGAAACACTTACCTGTCCATTGAACCTGTAGTGGTACGCATAGTAAATGACAGTGACAAATGGTTGAAACACTTACCTGTCCATTGAACCTGTAGTGGTACGCATAGAAAGCGAAATGGTAAAGGTAGAAGAAGCGCAGCCAATGTTTGCGAGTGACGGGTTGGTTGCAGCAGAGAGTCTCGTACTGGTCACACACCCACACGATCACGATGATGTAGAATGACGTCGTGGTGTCCTTGAAGAACTCAGACATGATCGCTTCCATCCCTGGTGAAAAGTGGATTGCAAACAAAAAATTACGTTGGATATGGATGTCGCGCAAAAATGAGCGATTTCTTAGAGATTAATTTTTGGGTAATTCTATAAATGACGGATGATAAGAACAAGTCACCAAACTTACATCAACGATTAGCATGCCAACAGGAGCCGGTTTAACGGTGATCAACGGATCAATAAGGGTCAGTAAAACGTCGGCCTATGCACCATAAGGGCCAGTATAACGGCCGTCAACTCGAAGCAAGAGCCAGTATAACGGCCATCAACTCGCTGACAAGAGCCATTAGGTATAACGGCGATTAACGCACCAACAAGGGCCACTAAAAAAGATATCAGCGCACCAAAAAGGCCTCTAAGAACGCCGGCCAACGCACCAATAAGGGCCTGTATAACGGCGATCAACGCATCAACAATGGCCAGTATAATGGCCATCAACGCACCCACAAGGGCCAGTATAACGACTATTAACGCACCCACAAGGGCCAATTTAATGACTATCAACGCACCAAATGCCAAAATAACGACTATCAACGCACCCACAAGAGCCAATATAACGGTGAGCATAGGAGCTGCAGGAAATGTGGCCATGGCAGCAGTGTTGATCTCCGTCATTTGGAAGAGATGGGCGATGAAAAGGAAGATCTGGTGGTGGGAGTACCGCAGCAGCAGCGACTCAGACAGCGTGAACACGAGCATCACAAGCCCAGCACCCAAGTAGTTCGTACCACCCAGCCACGTTGACACGAAGCGGTAGTGCTCGCCTGTCACCACGTTCCTGTATACATCGAGCATATTAGTGCTGTGCACAGCGGGCATAGTAAGTACATTTTTCTCGTCCGACACGACGTTTCTGTGCACATCAAGTAAAATAAATACATTATTTCGCTCACTGCTCACGTCTCACTTTCAAAAATAGCTACGAGGCCGTCAACCAATTACAACTTTCAAGCTCGGCCCACCAATCACGGACGATAAATTTTTCGCTAAGTGTACCTAATTAAGTTTAGATCGTACTGTATTTACCTGAGGTACCCCTTTCCTCCATCGTTCTCTGCAAGATTTTTAACGGCAGCGAGTAGAAGTTCGTCATAACCAACGAGGTTGGAGAGAAGGAAGGTGGAGAACTTGTCGCCAAAGCAGGGGTTGGTCTCGGGGTCGAGCACCACTAGCGTGACAGGAGCACCTAACCGGCGTCTTGTGGACCCTGACAGACGCAGGAGTCCGTAGTCCAGCGCATATTCCATGATGAACGCGTCGTCCGGGATGTCTGCAATGACGAGAGATCTGCAGTACTTCGGCCGTAATATCAAATACAAATAAGAGTTAGTAATTTTGTCAGCCAATTACTGACGACTTTTCAAGCTAACTCACCAATCACGAACGAGAAATCGGCAGCTAAGTATCCATAAGCGAGTTTTGATAGTACAGCTCCTTAATTAACACTAGAGATCGCAGTCGCTTGGCTACAAGTTCAATAAGGTTCATAATTTAAATGCAGTCAACCCTCAGAGTGCAGTTATGGTAATACTGGTGATGCTACTGAAGGCATGGGTGGTAACGTATAACTGAACGTTACTCTACTACCTCATACATGGCTGCAAGTACTATAAGGTTCAGAATTTGACTGCAATCAACCAACACGGTGTAGTTGTGCGGCTGCAAGTACTATAAGGTTAAGAAATTGATTGCAATCAACCAACACGGTGTAGTTGCGTGGTTGCAAGTACTATAAGGTTAAGAAATTGACTGCAATCAACCAACACGGAGTAGTTGCGTGGTTGCAAGTACTATAAGGTTAAGAACGCAACTACGTTATATCCAGAGGTGGCGATCCGTCGTGGCCTGGGACTGCTATGTCCCAAACAAATACTAAGGATACCAAGAGAACAGTAGCGTGGCTTGCAGCACCGGAATGATAGGAGCACTGATGGTGCATTGCAAGTCAAGTCAAGTTGAGCACTCTGCTGCGAATGTAATTTGACCAGATACATATAAATATCAGGCTATCTTATAAAAGATTTAACGAAACAATTTCATGTCCGAAATAAGAGAAAGTATTATGACAAATTTTATAGTTAATCTTGCATTTAAAAAAATACTGCACAATGAATTTATCAATTTCCTTACTTACATTTTGTCACCAAGCTTGGAATCTAATACGAAATGGCTAGATTTACGAAAACTCACTAAAATCCATTCAAAAAATTATTCTTATTTCACAACTCTTTCTTGTTCTATCTTATGAATTATAATAATAGATGGTTATTCTCACAGATATAAACATTCATTGTGTGAGGTGGAAAAGCTATGCTGTATAAGTACATGGTTTTTCTCACAGATATAAACATCATCATTGTATGAGATGGAAAAAGATATGCTTTAAAAGCACATGGTTTTTCTCACAGACATAAACATCGTCATTGTGTGAGGTGGAAAAAGATATGCTTTAAAAGCACATGGTTTTTCTCACAGATATAAACATCGTCATTGTGTGAGGCGGAAAAAGTAAAAGCTATGCTGTAATAATACATAGTTTTTCTCACAGATATAAACATCGTCATTGGATGTCTTCGAGCCAGGAGTAGCGGGGCAGGTGGTGGTGGGGGGCAGGAAGGGATTACGGCGCTGGATGGCGGGGCACGAGGCGGGTTCTTCCTCAGTTTCAGGGGCGACGCCACTCGCATGCTGCACAACAAAAATCTGGCATTACTTTTGGCAAGCAGGATAACAAGATTTCATGGCATATTGGACAAGAAGAGATTATTTAGAACACAGTTCATATAAACTCCAAGGTGAAGTACAAAATATTATTCAATATCTACCGTACGTATGACAATAGTGGTATTCATGTTACTTTACTGGTCAACTCGTAGCTATATCAAAAAAGAAGGTTGCAAAGAAGTGTTTCTGATTCGCCACTATATTACATTGTTTAGTCCACAATACTATGAAATGTATATATGTGGTCGCATTCTACGAGTTACAACGTGCATGATTTCATGATAGCAAATACCATGCTGAATATACATGTTATATGGTTCATCATTATACGAAATTTGAAACTGGATAACATATTAGATAACATGAATACTTATTTCAAGCATCGCACGCAATTTGAGCATTTAAAAATGTACAAATAAGAAGTATGTTGTGGTAAAACCCAGATTTGGAAAGCTTAGGAACGAGTTAATCAATGAAGATTGTTGGACATCAAAACACAATACGCGCCAAAGAAAAAGCATCAACAGACCGGTCGCAGGGACAGTCATTGGATTCAGGGCATAAACGATGATGAAGTGCAAGAAAAAACATAAATAAATAAGCAGGAAACCCTCGGCATTACCGAGAAAGCTCTCGACAGCGGAACGTCGTAAAAAAGACTGAGGAGACCGATGGTGATGGGCGACACGTAAGGTCCACTCAGCTCCTTCACGGACACCGACATTTGCTCTGACCAGCTCAGCGTCTCTCGCTCCGGCGCCTCGTCTTCTCCAGTGCTATCGCTCTGCTCGGAGTAACAAAAATGACGGTATAATATGTTCCTTACGTTAGTGACACAAGTAACGGCATAACGGGTTCGTTATAATTCTAGCGTTTCAATAATGACGGAAGTAACGGTTCAACGTGTTCGTTCTAACTTTGCTTAGAGTGACGGAAGTTAACGGAGTAACGTATTCGTTCTAACTCGCTCTGCTTATAGTGACGGAAGTAACGGTCTAAACTCTAACGTGTTTGTTCTGTTTAGACCTTAGTGAGACGATGGATGTTAACAGCCTAACGTATTAGTTCTCATTCACTCTGTTTTATGACGGAAGTAACAGCCTCGCTTGTTTGTAGTCATTCGTTCTGTTTTATTTAATGGAAGTAGCGATTTAACCTGTTGGTTCTAATTCGATCTTTTTTACGTAGTAAAAGAAACGGCCTACGGTTCACGCTGATTTTCTCTGTTTTATGTAAGGAAAGTAACGGCTTGACTTCTTCGTTCCAACTCGCTCTTTTTACGCAACGAAAGTAACAGATTATCGTGTTCGTTCAAATTCGATCTGTTTTATGTAGCAATAGTAACTGCCTAAATTATACCGTACGTACTAATTCACTCTGTTTTGAGCAACAAAAGTAATGGCTGACTTTTCGTTGAAAAGAAACCTGTTTTGAACATCCTAACGCGTTCGCTCTAAGTTATAATTTGCTCTGTCTTTTATAACGAAAGTAATGCATAACATATTTTCCTTCCAAATAAAATCATCAACTGCATTTTATGAATGAACATGATCAAACCCACCCACCGTACCGCAATGATTGATATACTCTCGTGAATTAAGGAATTACTTCATAACAGAAGTGTAGGAAAATACTCAAATATCAATAACCCAACAGTAGACTACTACCTGATACATTTCCATGGATATCTGACATTTTTGAAAGGAGGTCTCTTGAACAGCGCCAAATCTCACAAATAGCATAGTATCCAAGAAGACATATCCACCATTGGGCTAACTGAGCCATTAATCTTGCTTTTCACTTTTAAGTAAATGTGATATTTAGTGTTCATTTATTTCGTATTAGCAAACTGCACGCTGCTGTCTCAACCTCCTTTTGCTCAGCTGATTTTTTTGTAGATATATTTTTGCGGTACGTAATATTCATGAATCAAATTGGAAGTGGACGCATGTCCACTGTTTCAGCCAACAATAAGAATCTTAGTTGTAGAAATAATTAATCACATAGCTGAACATCGAAGACAAAATCCGTAGCTTTAAAACAAAATAAATTTAAGTTAAAAGAAGCAACAAACTAACAAGATCTTACCTAGTTCAGTTACCATCAGTCATTTTAGGTCATTCACTAGTTAAGTTTCCAAGCAAGGATTTCCTATCTATTTAAATTAGACTATGATTATGCAGCACATTTTTGAAGCCGGATAAGGTAAATAATCATTTTTCAGCATTATTGTACATCTGGACAGATTATTAACAAAAGAATTTAGAACTAACCTACAAGATGCTCAGTCGCTCAGATTTCTCGGACAATTTTACGGCCGGACTCGCGGCCGGTCTCCAAGGAATATCTCCCAATTCAATGACCAAGGAATATTTCTCATACTAATGAACGCAGCTCGATGAAACTTGGTACAAGTATTCATCAGGACCGATCGGTGATGTTTAGCTCGTAAAAATTATCTCAATTTCACCTTCATTTGTGAGTCATACGGCGAAACGGGCCAGAAATTGCAGCGCCAAGAAATTTCTTCTAAACTACTGAACAGGTTTGAACTAAATTTTGAATATACATTCCTAACCAACCAGCGGAGATGTTTATCTCGCGACAATTTTTTCGGTTTTGCCTTCAATTGCGAGATATACGGCTATACGGAGAAAAGACTGGCATTTCTGAGGCCGGTTTTCAAATTTGCAGTGACCAAGAAATATTTCCCAAAGTAACGGAAGGAACTCAATGTAACTTTCTACACGCATTTATTAGGACCTAGTGGTAATCTTTCGCTCGTTAAAATTTTTTCAATTTCTCCTTCGTTTGCAAGTTATACGGCAATACGTCAATCCATTGGAGAACATATGAATAAATTACTGTGTTCCACTTCGGCTTCACGAGTTAAACATCACCGCTGGGTGTTTAGGAATGAATATTAAAGTTTCGTTCAAATATGTACAGTAGCTTAAAAGAAATGTCTTGGTCGCTGCAAATTTCGGCCCGTTTCTCCGTATGGCTCACGAATGAAGGTGAAATTGAGATAATTTTCACAAGCTAAACATCACCGGTAGGTCCTGATGAATACGTGTACCAAGTTTCATCAAGCTGCGTCCAACACACACGTGTGATTAAGTGTTTAAGCACTCGCAGAAAATCTACGAAATATTCATATTAACAAAATTTAGAACCAGAAAAAACTTGCATAGAGAACAATTAACATGCTGCACCAGAAAAATTAGATAACAGAAAATTTATATTTAAAAGAAAATGATTATTGGAGGCGAATCCATTTGATAGAATACAAAAAATTTAGTCTTGCTTTTATCAGAACTTCTGATTATATCTCGATGACCCTATGAAATCATAAGCTCTGTACTGATAAGTACTTGTGGGATAACTGCCGTACGTTACCCGCACAGTGAGGTAATTACGAGATCGGAAATGAATCAAACTGGATTAAGTGAATTTATTTGATACGGCAAGGAATACAGAAATGATAACAGTAATAATAGTTATAATACCCTTGGCAACGTGAGAATCTGTTCGAGAAGTATGTTATATAAGTAACCATGATGAGGAAAATAATAGTACAATATAACCAGTTACGCATATAAACAAAGAAACCTATCTTAGAGACCTAAATCTTAACTAACCTGCTGTTGTGGATCTGCTGGGCTATACTAAGGGACAAACTAGAACGCGAAGTAAACTTCCTAACGGTGTTGCCAAGTCAGAGGAAAAAGGATATATTTATTAAAAGTCGTAATTTCTAGGTTCGCTACATATACTAACCTCGGTGTACGTTTTGGAAGTTGACTGCACCATCCAGTCAGGCATCGCAGCATCATCAAGCAGCACAGCGCTGTTGAAGAAAATAAAACCTATAATTTTCGACATATTTCTGTTATTTTTTAATAACTTTAGCATTTACGTTGAATTCCATTTTTGAACATACGTATATATTAAGCTAACCATAAGAAGCTGAGACCAGTTTTATTGAACCTTGTTCCTACTTAGCTTCTATGTAATAAAAAACTCTGAACAATTGGGACAGTTATTGGCTGATGTAGCAGTTATTGGTTAATGTGGCAGTTATTGGTTAATGTCGCAGTTATTGGTTAATGCGGCAGTCATTGGTTAATTAACCAATTGAGAAACAGGTTAACCCATATACTTGAATTTTTTACTGTCAATGAGCATATGAGAACTGAACATATTATTAGAGTTAGGTGGAGATCCAGTATCATGTACCGCAGTTACAGCTTAATTACCTAGTTTAGAAACGACTAACGCACATAACTGAAGTCATTAGTAACTCCTCAGTTTTAAGGTTAACATATTTCTGACTTAGGCAGAGATGCAACTTAATTCTGACAGTTACCAGATAAATACTTACAAAATTAAACAACTCATAAAAAATCAACGAATAATTGCTACATCGCAAGAATTTGCAAGAATTCTCGAGTGCTTGATAGATCACGCTCTAAAGAATTTTGAAAATTTGTAGGCCATAGTAAAATGGACTAGATGTAAGACAAACAGCAGTTGTCAGGTAAGGTAATTTCTATACCGGTATGCATTGGACAGACTGGGCTTTCACTCTTCATGTATCACGAATGCATTTTAAGAATTGTTGAACAGATGAGAAAAAGTGATACTTACAAAACTTTTTAAAGTGCACCATAAACTTCACTGAACTGTTCAATACGGTATGATTATTCTGCAAAATGAAATGAATTTAAAATTGAAAATCATACAAAACCTTATTTTAGGTTATCCTTTCGAACAGAATTGATAATTGTCAAATAAAGATTGGTGTACTCACTCAGAAACTTTGTTGAGGTCTTCCATTGCAGTAAAAATTACTGAGCCGCCTTCCGTGGTGTACCTGCGATGAAGAAGTTCTTCTTTCTGGTAGCTGTGCTCAAGTGTGTAGGAAGGATCTGAATAAAATGATATGGGTCAATAATATTTAATATATATATACATGCAAAAATAGTGGAATCATAACAATTGAAAGTAATTTTGAAAAGGTAGGTTTGGCCATGTGCCTAACTTCTAATGCACAAAATAGCGTATCTTTGCCAGATTAAATGTCATGAAAAAAAATCTGCTGCATTCTGGATGTGGCAATACCGTAGCTGATTGTGCACATACGTATTTGGAAAGCTAACAAAGTATTTTTTAACAAAGGTAAAATTAATCTCGAGATATATTTTAACTTGCATGACTAAATTTCCACCTGCAGACCACAATTATTTGGAGTAGTAATGCATCATTTCAACATACAACTAAGATAATAACCTCCATATTCTTGTGTCGGTAAACATTACATCATTCGAATAAGAACGCAATACACCGGGTACTTGGGGTTTAAAAAATTACCAATAGATATATCTCTTGGGGTTTAAAAAATTACCAATAGATACCGGTACATCTCAGACTTGAACACACCAGGATTAGAAATGACCTCCACACGCAGTATGCCAGTCTTATCCCACAGAGTGTCCGGTGGGAGGCATGCAGGGGACTGGTTACATAGGTAAACATGGACCAGGATCAGGAGGAAGAGGCATCCCAAACTCTGAAACAAACAAATGAATACAATATATTTCATTAAATAAATCTGTATGTACAGAACACAAGCTTAGAGGAAATCAAAAGATTATCATGAAAGGTAAAAATCCTATCCATTTTGTATTTTTAAATCTGCAGTTGAATAAATTAAATAAAAACAACTTTTTTGTTGGAAATATGCAAACTTAAAACACAAATAACTTGCAAAACTCACATAAGCTCCAAATAATAATTTTATTTCATATTACACTTGAAATGAAAAAGTTTCTCACACAAATTTATTGAAAATTGTAACGAGAGGTATTAAAAATAATAGAACCATGAAATTACCTTGGCAAGAAGAACAAACTCTAATAGCCTCCGGATGAAAGGAGTGGTTGAACGAGCATAGGCAATTGATGCTCTTAGGAAGAGTAATTGGAACATTCTGCCTCGCAGCTGATTCAAGTTTGGAGGAACAGTCACACGAGCATTGGGAAAAGCATTGCCATTAGGTGCTGGAGTTGCAGGCTGCTGTGTTGCTGCATGTTGAGAGCCTTGATTCACATCATTTAATCTGCTGCCTGCTACAGAAGGTGGACTTTGGAAGGTGGCTTCTTCAGGAAAGTCAGTACTGGTGCCTTGCTCTGATGTGCGTGGACCATTCTGCCTAGATATTAGTGGCTGGACAAGGGTTGATGTACGAGGAGGATTACTTGAGCCATCTGTAACTGTCCCACATGAGGTGTCAATCCCAAATGTATTTTCTAATGGGCTTGTTTCAGGCATGTTGATAGAAGGATTACTCTCCAACAAGTTTGATCTTGTAGAACTGCCAGAGAGAGCTTGACCAGTAGAATTAGTAATAAAGGAGGATGCCACAGGGGTGTTCAATTTGAAATCATTAGTATCATTGGTCTTCAAATCTATGTTAACATTAATTTTCTTAGCTTCAGAACTACAGTAATTTGAACTGCTTGGAATGCAACTTGAGCTAGGATGACCAGAATGAGAACTTAGGGAATTACTAATTTTAGAACACAATCCTTCAGATGATAGGTTTGTAGTATTGGACAATGGAGGTAATGACACAATGGTACAAGATGAAAAATTCTGTTCCTCATCTCTTTCACAATTTGAAACTGAATAGTGACTTCCAACCATACCTAAAAAAGCTGGTCCACCATCAGCACCTCCATGAGCATCACTTCCATCATTAATATTGCCACTAGGACAGCTAGCGCACCTGCACACACCTCCATGAGTATTGTAAATCGTGCTTTCTTTCTGCTCTCCCTTTGAGCTCGATACTTGTGCAGCCCTCCTTGCAACTTTGTCTTCTTCAATGATTTTAAAAAGATCCTGAGTGCTATCTCCTGTTTTATTAGAGCTTGTTTGGCCAAGTTCACAGCCGGAGTTTGGTAAAGCTGTTGCAACTCGAGATTTACACACTCCTGAAGCTCTTGTGGAGAGTTGTTGCAATTGATGATGTGAGGCTTGTTGTCCAGATTCAGTAGAGGAGTCTTGGGTTCCAGTGGAACCTGGCTTGCTGATGCCAATGATGGCAAGAGAAGGAGCAGGTTTGGTAGAAGGCTGCACATTGTCATCCAAATTTCTATGATTTGGAAGCATAGCTTGGGAATTTATAGAATATGCAACATATGATGAGTATGAATAGAATGAAGATTGAAATTTTTTGTAATAAATCTTTCAACTAGGATCAGAATGCCTGAAATTTAGAAAACTTTGTATGATTAAAGACAAGTACGGTATAGTATCAATGTATATATAAATATATAGAGTGTAAGTTTCTTACATTTATTCATCATATCTTTATATATAGCATCAGAATATTACAAAACTAGCTATTGTAAAGCTGCAGCTGAAGACAGCAACCAATTGCTTATTATTTTCCAAGTCTACTGCAAATTGGGTAATAAGGGATGATTTTTTAATAACTTCTTACCATGAAACATTTCATAAATGTGTTTTTGGGCTCATTTTAAAGGTCTTTGGAAGTGCAAGGGCTATCACAAGACATCTCAGAAAATTTTTTACATGCTATTTGTAAGGTGCCAGAAGCAAGAAAAAGCATCCTGAATCAAACACATAGTATAGTAATTACTTAGTAATTACCCACGGAAATTGGGTAATCAAGGACACTTGAAATAAGACCAAATTTTAAATGTTTGTAGCATGCTGAGTGTACTCATCCATTACTAACAGTACTACAAAGTGACAGAGTCCTCCTCTTCATTAGTTGATGATGTAGATGTAGAATAAATTATGTTTTCTGTGATTTGCACTCATTTTTCCTTTATTGATGACATTATACTAATGCTTTCTAATGTGATCTAGTGCATTCTAATGTACTTTAGAGAGTTGAAGTTCAATGCTTTCTAGTGCATACTAATGCAATCTGATGCAATCTAGTGAGTCCTAATGCAAACTAGTGCATTTGGATATGATAAAGTGAGTTTTAATACCAGAAATTTATTTAATTTAAGCCTTAAACTTAAAACTTGTACATTCTTACCAGTTCCAGCGTTAACTCTTGCTTACCCATAGCTTCCATATTGTTTCTACTCTAATAACTTTGGTATTTTATTTGTTGTGCACAACTCTTGATAATTTATATGTACTTTCATTTTGGGGTGCTTGCATAAGTTACATTTTACAACTCTTTTGAATGCCTTAGATTGCCTACTAAACATGATGCTAGTTTTCTTTCCTGAAATAAATCCCAATTTAAAGTAAATTCTCTTTGCATAGATAAACTTCAACAAGTGCTATTTAAATAATACATCTCTCCAGTTTCTTTTGGAAGCTTCATTTAGATGGGGGGTCACACTGCAACTCTTAACTTTAAATCCTTTTACCATATTTGCCGAAGTGTTTGGATCCTACCATCAAACGGGGTAAAAAGGGACGGGTGGGGTAAATTGGGACACGCGTCCCACATTTCGTAGAAATGTTGTAGCAGCTAAACTAATCAAAATATTGCAACACTAAAAATAGTGGCGTAAACTTCAACATTTTTACTACCTATCTATTATGTATAAAGCTAGTAAAGAAATAAAACAGTTACTATCTCTAAAAAATTGCTGAAAAAAAGTGTGAAAAGTACGATTTTGGAAAAGTACCTCTGCTAACATCTGGAGCAAAAAAATATTTGCTGTATTAAAAAATTTTACTTACATAAAAGTTGCACCCAGGTGTCGGCTTGAAAATGTAATTGACGGAATTTGCCTATCTCATTAAAAAAAAAAATGGCAGCCATTTCCGCATGGCAGGGCTACTCAGGACACCCCCCCCAGCCTCCCAGGGGTAATTAGGGACACCCCTAAAAATGCATTTACAGTAGAACCTCAGTAAGCAAAGGTTCCAGTTAACAAAAAATTGATTAACAACAAAGAATTTTGATTACATTTACCTCGCTCAGAAAAAAAAATCACTTATTAATTTGTAATCAAAAGCCATTTACGCTGAGTAATGAAAAACTATTTACAAGCCACGAACTTATTTACAAGGTTGCATGCACGATTATTGCACGCGTTACCCCAAATAACTAATTTTACCCTAAAAACAGTCCGATTGTACAGCAAGTGTCAACTGAACATGTGGTGATGCAGTCTGACAGCTCTAATGTGACCACAACTACATTTTGTTTACATTTTTTTGGCGGGAACTCATGGCAACTGATTTCTGGACAAGCTTTACTGCATCCTGATCCATCCAATGTACCGGAAACCTTACTTTTTTCTAAATAGCTAGTTGGCCAAAGACTGACAAATATATTAAATGCAAGAATTTCAATCTAAATGCGTCAGCAAGATCTTCTGAAGGTGTAAATTTTGCTACTGAAGCATCACCAAAGATCTTGCAATAGGGTAAACGCGGTATTTTCCGACATCGTGGGTAATTCCGTCACCTCTCCAGCTTTTCCTTTATATTAAGCTTTGTTTTAGTTCCATGCATTTGTTGATGGTTGAAATGGTGACGTCATACATTTGCGCGTCAAAATACTAGGTTTTGGCCATCTAGTGGGAAAATATTGAGATCCAAAGAGAGACAATGCATGCCACCTGGTTTTGGAGATAATTTCTTCCAAAATAAAGTTCTAGATTTCTCATTCACCAAATTTCCGTATCAAGAAAAATCATATATTATTGAAGGATAATTTAAGGCATACTGTACTGAGTATTGCGTCTGTTCCTCCACAAACTGCACTTGTGCAGCGTAGAATTGATGGCCAGGATTGCGCGAACTGCAGAAGTCAAGATTAAAGAACCACACCACAAATCATTCACCATCCATAACGAGCTCACGCCCCACTAATAGCCTAAGCGCTAATTGCATAAAAAACACAGGCACCGGAAGAAATCTATCTTAATTATAAATTTTCATTTTTATTGCAACGATGAAGGTTAATTATAGAGGCGAACAACAAACATTAATAAAAATGAGAATAGCTTCAGAGGCACAATCACACTCGAAGTCGAAGATCGTTCAGCTTTACTGGTACTTGAAATCTACAGACAATGTTGCCATTCCATTCAGATGAAAACTGGGTCTAAATCAGAACTGTGTTGGACGGCTCCGCGGCCCGCGCCGAGTGCTGTGTGGTGTGGAATCGATGACCATGATTTGCGCAAACGCCTGCGCAAAGAAAATATAGTAATTAGATTGTTTTGCGCAAACTGCGCTGACCTAGGGCTTCAAAAAAACTATTTATGCGCGAGAAATTTCCCCATTTATATACATCTTCCTGAGTGTGGCTCCTATCCAATTGTTGACAAAAGTGTACAATCGGGCACAAGATTCCAATTGTATTAAAAATTTGTCAAATGGAAGCCACAAGATTTCAGTAACAAGTAGGAAAATTCCAATCCTGTACTGTGCATAGTGGACAACCAGAGATTTTTTGGAATCAGTTCATTTTTAATTTCCTCATCTATAGTCAAATGGGGTAAGACAGGATCACAGCCTTCATGGAGTAAGAAAGGACCAGCCCATTGTGTGCATTCTAATTGCACTGAATTTAATTTGACAAAAGAATATGTTAGAGCAATCATTGCCTGTCATTTCAGTGTTTGTGGCAACCCTCTTCTGCAAATAATGAATTTCTGGCTAATTTTTGAAGAAAACCTATGTAAAGAAGGGTCACAAAATAGTTAACCCAGTTTGGGAAATAAGCTCTGTCTAATGACAAAAAATTTTTTGGCCCGGTTTGTGGATGTAGGCAGGTAACCTCAAGTAATAAGCAACTTTTGAGACATATTTGGCATTCCTACCTGCTACCATCACTGCCTGACAAGTATTCTAAAATGGGGTAAAAAAAGGACTGTACATGGGGTAAGACGGGACCACTAAATGATCCTGTTTTACCCCACAAGTGGTCCTATCTTACCCCACAAATGGTCCTGTCTTCCCTCATAAATGGTCCTCTATTACCCTAGGTACAGTTTATCAAAAATAGTTTTTAAATGTAGGAGCACCTAACCGGCGTCTTGTGGACCCTGACAGACGCAGGAGTCCGTAGTCCAGCGCGTATTCCATGATGAACGCGTCGTCCGGGATGTCTGAAATGACGAGAGATCTGCAGTACTGGGGCCGTAATATCAAATATACAATTAAGAGTTGGCAACTTCGTCAGCCAATCACTGACCACTTTTCAAGCTAACTCACCAATCACGAACTAGAAATCGGTAGCTAAGTGTCCTAAGCGAGTTTTGATAGTACCGTACAGCTCCTTAACACTGGAGATCGCAGTCGCTCGGCAGCAAGTACATACAATAAGTTTCATAACTTGAAATTAACCCACAGAGTGGGTTAATTTAATTAATTAATAATTTAATCTAATTAATTTAATTTCATTAAATTTAATTAATTAATTAATTTAATTAAAATTTAATTTAATTAATAGCAAACGTATAATGGGTGATGCTACTGAAGGCATGGGTGTTACGTAACGTATAAAAACGTTACTCTACTATCTTACACATGGCTGCAAGTACCATAAGATTCAGAATTTGACTGCAAGTAATCAACACGGCGTAGTTGCGCGGCTGCAAGTACAATAAGGTTATGAACACTACTACATCATATCCAGCAGACAACAGTAGCCTGGCTAACAGCAGCGGGATGATAGGAGCCCTGATGGTGTATTGCAAGTCAAGTCAAGTTATGCATATAAATATCAGGCTATCCTATAAAAAAAGTTTTAACGAAACGATTTCATGTCTTAAATAAGAGAAAATATTGTGACAAATTTGATAGTTAGCTTGCATAAAAAAATACTATACAATGAATTCATCAATTTCCTTCCTTGCATTTTGTCACCAAGCTTGGAATCTAATACAAAAAGCTGGATTTACGAAAACTAAAAAAATCCATTCAAAATATTATTCTTCTTTTTTCAAAACTATTCTTGTTCCCTCTCAGGAATATAACACTATGCATGAATGAGAAAGAGCTAGTATATAGAATTACATGGTTTTTCTCACAGATACCTATATACATCGTCATTGTGTGAAGTGGAAAAAGCTACATGCTGTAAAAGTACATAGTTTTTCTCGCAGATATAAATATCGTCATTGGGTGAAATGGGAAATCAATGCTGTAAAAGAACATGGTTTTTCTCACAGATATAAACATCGTCACTGTGTGAGGTGGAAAAAGCTATGCTGTAATAATATCGTCATTGGGTGAAATGGGAAATCAATGCTGTAAAAGAACA